TCATTTTATTGGGGGCTCATACAATGCTTATCACAATCTATCCATCCATCCATTGTGTCAAGCACATTTGTACATTTGTTGCCATCATCATTCTCAGAACATTTGCTTTCTACTTGAGCCCTTGATATCAGCTCCTCAATTTCCCCCCTCCCTCCCCGGTCCTCTCTCCCTCATGAACCCTTGATAATTTATATATTTTGTCATATCTTACACTGTCAGATGTCTACCTTCACCCATGTTCTGTTGTCCATCCCCCAGGGAGGAGGTTATATGTAGACCCTTATAATCGGTCCCCCCTTTCTACCACTCCTTGTAATTGGTTCCCCCTTTCTACCCCTCCTTGTAATTGGCTCCCCCTTTCTACCCCACTTTCCCTCCACCCTCCTGGTATCGCCACTCTCACCACTGGTCCTGAAGGGATAATCTGTCCTGGATTCCCTGTGTTTCCAGTTCCTATCTGTACCAGTGTACATCATCTGGTCTAGCCAGATTTGTAAGGTAGAATTGGGATCATGACAGTGGGGGACAAGAAGCATTTAAGAACTAGAGGGAAGCTGTATATTTCATCGTTGCTAAACTGAACCCTGATTGGCTCATCTCCTCCCCGGACTCTTCTGTAAGGTGGTGTCCAGTTACCTACAGATGGGCTTTGGGTCTCCACTCTGCACTCATCCTCATTTACAATGATATGATTTTTTGTTCTTTGATGCCTGATACCTGATTCCTTTGATACCTCATGGTCACACAGGCTGGTGTGCTTCTTCCATGTGGACTTTGTTGCTTCTGACCTAGATGGCCGCTTGTTTACCTTCAAGCCTTTAAGACCCCAGACGCTATATATTTGGTTCAGTAAAGTGTGGTGAAGAAAGCAGATGGTCTATCTAAAAGCCTGTCTATCAATTGGAATAGTGTCTGGGGTCTTAAAGGCGTATATTCAAACAAGCAGCCATGTAAGCAAGGAGTCAACTAAGTCCATTCAGAAGAAGCACACCAGCTGTGTGATCCAAAGATGACAAATACAAAACTCTACTATGGTGAGGAGAAAAACATCAGAGCAAAAATTATGAACACCCAATTTGTGGAAGGTTATGGGGAATGGTGGCTGCTCAAAACCCATCTGCAGAGTTTCTCAGCAGGCTAAGCCACTGGAAGATCCACTCTAGCCACAGACAAGAGTTTCAATGGCCTTATTAATAGGCAGAGACCATTGTAAGCTTGATTATGTTGGGTCAACCTTGATACTTGGCCATCTGATTACCCTATAGAGGGGATCTTGACATGTTTTCTGGGTGCCAATATCTCTTACTGGTTCCATGAGAGAAATTTTTTCCCTGGATTTTTGAATTTTGTTGGGGATCTGTCCCTTCTTAGGCATTTTGTGGTGTCATTGTCTGTTTACTGTTATGTTCTTATCCTTACCATCTTAGCATGCTTTTGTTTTTATTGTTTTCTTTTTTTTCTCTTTTTATATAGCATATATTTTATTAAATTTTATACTAATATATCCACATTAAAAAGGCAATTTAGTGGAAGAACCTTCCTTTTGAATTATCTGTTAACACACAGCTATACATTACAAAATCCTCATCTGATAACAAAAAGAAAACAAAATATTTTCCTTTCTTACAGGTGGACTTTGAAGTGGACCTAATTCGATTTTCTTTTTAAAAATCTCCAAGAGAAAGCAGATTAATTGTAAATAAAATGAATGTTACAGTGGTTGCTTACACTACTGGTCTCCGGTACCATTTTCTGTTTTCTGTTGTTTCGATGCAGGCTCTTCTTGGTCTGCTTCTTCTCTTGCTCTTTTCACTGGTCCAGCTGCACCACCATTTTCATCGCATTCATCCTCACTCTCGAATTTCGTTTTCTTGCCCTGCAACTGTACTTTTCCTTTAGCCGACCGCACCTGGGCAGCTTTGTTTCCCTTTCCCTTTCCTTTAAACTTGCGACCTTTAGACTTCCATTTGTTCAGGGATTCTTGTTGATCTTCCATGATTTTTTTCAGTGCTGCTTTCTCCACCTCTCCTTCTAGGACTTCCCCCACCACGTCTCTGCTTCTTAGTTGTAGGTTATTGTTACTCGCATCTTTGGCTTTATCCAGCACTTCTTTAGCTTTTTCTTTAAGCAGAATTACTCCCTCTTTTGCTCCTCTGACAAAGTCTATCCACTTGATTTCTCCATGATTTGCAAAAAGGATGTGCAAATCTTCTCTGCAGGTCTGATCATCTAAGTCGCCTGCAAACTTCAGCAAGCAGCCCATCTTTTCTTCTAGAGACTTCATTTCAGCATCTTCTGCTAACTTCTGTTTTTCTTCTTGCTCTTGTTTAGCTCGTAGTTTAGCCTCCACTTTATTTTGCTTTCTTTCTTCATTCTTTTTTGCAAAGTAATCGTCTTTGAAAAGTATTAGAAGGTCTGTGTCTTTATACTTCTGGCCAGGGGTCTCAATGAACTTCTTAGCACATTCAATTCTCTCAAACACAATAAATATTGACCCCTTAAATGCTCTGTGCAATGTTCTTCTCATCTGAATATTTAGTATTTCACCTTTGCCTTCCAACCATTCTTTGATGTCATCGAGGGTTGCATCAGTTGGGAAGCCTTTAATATATACAGATCTGTTTTTTACATCATTTTTATACTCATCCGTCACTTCGGGGAGGGGTTTGCTTGGAGATCTTCTGATTTTAGTCTTATCTTCACTTATTTCCATGAGCTCTACCTTTGGTTTGCTCAATGCTTCTACTATTACATTAAAGTCTGTTGTCAGACGGTTCAGCTTGTTGAATTTTATCATTATCTCCAGTGGTACCCAGCCTTCATCTAGTTTGATATGTTCCTTTAAAAATTTGTCCCGAGGCAAATTAAAGTCACCAAAATAATACTCAATCTGATGACAGATTTTGGCTTCCAGCTCAGCCATTTTTTCACTATCACCATTCTCGGACATTGTGGCTATCTGAAAAATTTCCTGGGGGGTTCCGGCCCCGCAGAGGCGCTCCTCTGAGTGAGCAGCGACGACAACAACGCCCCGACTGCCCAGCGCTGCCGGCCCAACGCGCTCAAAGAAGACGGGGAAAGATGTTTTTATTGTTTTCTGTTGGGTCTCCCAGGTGAAGCACAGGAGGAGTTGACACATAAGGAGAATAACCGAAACAAGGTGTTATAGGAAATGCAGGCATAGGGGATGGGTGATGGGGAGGGTGAGGGGACCTTGGGAGTGGATGGTGAAGATGGGTCTGGGGAGGGAGCACTAGAATGAACTGTGATTGCATAACTCATCTTGGAGGCGATTTAACCAAGGGAGGGGGAATGTTCTAAACAAATTGATGTGGGGGTGATTTTACAAGTACCCTTGATATGATTGAATGATTGAACTATTGATTTAGATGTTATGTAAATTGCTTGCCAATAAAACTGTATAAAACATAGCAATAATGAAAACATATAGTTTTAATTTAACTGATTATCTTTACCTTATTTATCTTTCATTTATAGTAAAATGATAACAAAAACCTATTTAATATATATGATAAGTGTATTAAAAATCATTCTCTTATTCCTGGAATTTATATGCAAATATTTATGAGAGGCAAAAGAAATAGTGGTAGGAAATCAGAAATGACTGCTATGTTAATTCCAGTGTTTCCATGTTTAAGTCAACCATGCTGTTGTTATTGTTAGGTGTGTCGAGTCGGTTCTGACTTGACAGGGAAGCAATATACAGCAGAACAAAATACTGCCTGATGCTGCACCATCCTCAGATGCTTCCGCCCAATGTTGCAGTCACTGTGTCAATCTACCTCACTGATGGTCTTCCCTTTGAATGCTAACTTTCCATTTTACCAAACTACATAGCTCCCTCCAGGAACTAGTTGTTTCTGATAGCGTGTCCCAAGTCCATTAGATGAAGTCTCTCCATCCTCTCCTGTATGTACCATCCCACCTGTGCTTCTTCTCAGACTGATTTGTTCACTCTTCTGGAAGTCCATGGTGTGCTGAATACTGTTCCCTGACATCATACATCCTTTCCTTTCTTCCTTATTCAATGCTCATTATTCAAATATCACATGCACTGACACAATTGAACATATCTTGGGTCAGGCACAACTTAGTCCTCAAAATGACATTTTAATTCTTTAACACTATTATGAGTTCTTTTATAGCATTATTTCTCTGTGCAATAGTTTATTTGACAAAACATAGCTAGACTAAATTGTGAAATAATCAGAAACAACGTAAATATGGCATATAATAAAAAATCACAATTATTTCTTGAACCAACAGCATTTGTGAGATATTATTATTTCCATAAATAAATAATCTGATCATAGGTCACCTTTTCTAAAGTAAAACCTCCAGACTTCTACCTTGTAAGTCATCTGTTACCTGGAAAATATTTAATTCATTTAAAAATCATTTCTTGAAGCCTTACTAGCGTCCTTTATCTTCAGTTCTAAATTAGGTGCCTAAAGTTTCCATGACACCTGGAGGAGCTGCTCCAGTCTCCTTCTGAGGACAAGACCAGGGGAATCTGAATGACTGGTCCCATCAAGAACAGTGCACTGGCGCAAATGATTGTGCTCGTGCAATCTCATGCAAAAGGCAACTTAATGACTAATCAGATTTGCACTGAGAAGCCCTCACCCCACCCCCAGAGGGAAAAAAAACAGAAAAAGAGAAAATATTCTCTTGGTTCTTATTCTTTGGAGGTAGGAGATTTATTCAAAAGCCTATGGAGGATAGTGATAAGGGAGTAAAAAGGTAAAAACTGACAGTTGCAAAAAGTGACCATAGACAAAAATGACCACAAGCAAGAAAGGACTGTAAATATCAAGTCAACAAAAAGAGCCTCACCCATTATTATTTAAAATAGTCTTACATTTTCCGGTACTTTTTTTTTTAATAGTAAAGGTGGTGGAATAGCAAAAGAAGCTAGAGGGAAATAAATAAAGAATCAAGCTGAATCAAATTTACCTCAAAAGTCACTGAATCCACTGCTGCATTCAATTATTAATGTTACCAAATTTACGTAATCATTTTCAAAGATTGAAATAGAAAAATAAAAATGGCAAGAAATTATAACATGTTTTATAGTGCTTTCCAAAGAAATGATGAATAGTAAATATTTTATTTCAGGGATTAATTATCTGGAAAGTTTTACTTATCTTAAACATGTAATTTCCCAGAGGGTACAGTATAAATGAAACATTACTAGCCTATTACAAAAAATGATCCATTATTTCCTATTACATAGAGGAAACTACTATTAATTTTGGTTACCATTTGCCTCCAAGTCAAGCAGAAGAGTCATTCTTCAACACATAATTAAAACATGGCTGCAGCATATTCATATAGAGTCAATATAAGCACAGGATATAATATAGCAATACTGTATTCTATGATATCAGCCAATTTCTTGTTGATGTACTACTGCAACATTTAAAAATTGCTGTCAGCAAAATACACTTGTGCATAATATTAATGATACTATTCAATAATTTCCACATTCTATTTTATCATTTTTCTTTGGACTGGGACAGGATAATGCCAGACATTCAAGGCAGCTTCTGAAGACAAGGGTCTTGTCTGAAAACTGAGAATATGGGAAAGATGGTTGCCTGAGGTTTTTTGTTATTTGTTTTTTACTATTTAAAGATATTTAACTGTGTGGATCATAACAACAATTATGGATACATTTGGAAAGAATAGGAATCCCCCCAAACCTTAATTATGCTCATGCAAAACCTATGCAGAAACCAGAACGCAATTCTTCAAACAGAATAATTGGGTGGTGGCTAAAATCAGGAAAAACATGAATTAGGGTTATAACCATTCCCTATAATTAATCTATTTGTACATTGATCAAATAATATGAGAATCTGGACTATAAGAGAAACAACCCAATCCTATCAGGATTATAGGAGGCCTAATTAAGGACCTGCAGTTGGCACATGATGCAGCTGCTGGGATTGAAGAAGACTGGAAATACTCATGGTGATCAAAGACCACAGTGTTCAGCAGGGAGAGTGCCTCAGCCTAGGGAGAAAAATTCTCACAACTGCAGACTTTTGATTAAAAATATCATAATAAATCTTGAAAAGATTGAGGGTGTCTGGAATTTCATTTTACATGATGGATTTACAATCAACGTCAGATTACAGCCAAGTAACAAAATGATATGCTATACATAGGGTAAATCTGCTACAAAGGGCATTTACGAAAAAGCAAAGCTATCCCTTTGAGATACAAGGTGCATCTGTCCCAAGCCATGATTCGGTTGTCTCTCACGCACTGCAAAGCGGCAAAATGACTATGGAAGAGTGAAAAAGAATAGAAACCTTTGCATTATGAAGTTAGCAAAAATAAAAACACAGACTAGATTATGGATTGCTGAAAGCATACATGGAAATCTGGCTTGGACTGTGAATGATCATGAAACTGAGGATGATGAAACTTTGGATTATTTGGACATGTCAGTGTCTGGAGAAAACCCTCTCATGCTTGGTGTTGGGTCAGCAAAAAGAGGCAGACCCTCTTGAAATGGACTGACTCTGTGGCTACAAAATGGGCTCAAAAACAGCCCACACTTGGATTGTGATAAGAGTTGTAATTGCCTTCAATAAAATAAAATTTTTAAAAAGACTGGAAAAAAAAAGCTTTTACAAAAGAAAAGGTGGGGGGGCATGATTGTGAGGCTAGTACAGGTCGGGGCAGGTTTTTGCTTTGTTGCTCTGAGTCAGAGGAGACTCAGGGACATCTAATGAAAACAATGACCCTCCCAGGATTCTGTGCACCCTACTGGCAAGCTTATATTTGCATAGTTCTACCTAATAATTAAAGCACCCTGGTAGTGTCATGGGTTATGAGTTGGGCTAACAGCCATCAGTTGGTCCACAAAGGAAAGATGCAATATTGGACTCCTATGAAGACTTACAATATCGCAGATGCCCAAGAACAGTTCTCCCCTACCTTTGGGGGACCTTTGAGTCAGAAATGACTCTACAGCAGTGAGACCTCATGATTTGATGGAAGCCACAGACCAGAGTTAGAAGGCCCATCCAAGCATCTCACTGCATCGAATCTTCACTGAGACTCTGAGAGAGCTCCGGTGTTGTAATGAGCTTTGAGGTGACCTGTTAACCCCAAGGTCAGTGGCTGGGACTGACCAGTTGCTGTGTGCTCCACAGGGTAAAGGGCTGCCTGGGAGGTGGATATATTTGCATTCAGGCAAATGAACCCCCTGGGAGGAAAGGAATGAAAACTGTATACACTTCCTATCCACTAAGGAACTCTGTGTTCTAAGTGACTTTAGGCGAGATGCAAGGCCAGCAGTGTGTTATTATACAATTCCCTAGACACACCAGCTTCCTATCTGCCTATTTCTTTATGTGCAGTAAGGGCCATTACTGTGACCATTCCCTAAATAAATGTTCTAAAGTGACTTTCTTTATCCACCAATAAAACAAGAGGTGATAATATCACTTAGTAGGATTCAAAAGTTTTGGGGGTGTTTGTTTTGTCTTGTATTTACAAAAAAATTCCATTACAAATTTAAAACCATTTAAATGGAAATATTAGCAAATCTAAAGTCTGTCAAACCATCAAAACTATTCTAAAATACAATGCATTCACATTCCTACCACACTTTATTTATTACTGCTATCAATTCTGCAAAATGAGCAATGTATTTTGGCTGGGGCTCTCATGGGTACACATGTATTTTACAAGGACATTGGTGATATATTTTACTATACAAATCACAAGATATAGTTTACACACTGGGCTCAGGTTTTATACATTTTTCCCCAAAGGGTATTCATATTTGATAAATTACTGATTGAAATCTGAGGCAATTAAATTGTGGTGACCTTGGCATACTAGTGCATGCATTTTCTATTAAAACAATGTCAGTCCTTTATTATGGTCTGGCTGTGTAAAAGAGAATCAGGTTAGGCCCACTTCACATTTGGTTTCTTATTCCTCCAATAGATAGAATGTTTTAATTCAGAGGAATTGAATCTACCTGTCAGCCTGTGCGCTCTTTG